ACAGTTCTCTTAGTGCTTTTCCTCCAGTGTCTAGTTGTTCTGATGCTCAGGAAGCTTTTGCTGAGCTTTATCCTGAACCTTCCTGCAGTTTAAAGCCACTGCTTCTTACCATACCCTCATCAGCTAGGGGCAACAGTTGTTTGCCGTCCTCCTTATGGCAGCCTTCCAGATATTTGAAAGCTGTTACCATGTCACCCCTTAATCTTCCTTTCTCCAAATTAAGCATTCCCAGTTCCTTCAGCCTTTCCTCCTGTGACTTGCTTTCCCAACTCCTGGTCATCTTTCTTGCTGTCTTTTGGATCCCCTTCAGCCCAATCATAAATTGTACGTTGATGCTGTGTTTAAAATAAATAGTTCTGCAGCAAGGTCCATCAGTAGTTTCCTGTGTGTTTCACTCTGTGCCATTGGCTTCTGGTGGAGCTTTGTATTACAAAAGTATTATTTTGCTGTATTGCATAATATTTCAGAGCGATTCAGTTGCTCTTGAATTCTTAAGAGTACAAGCCACTGCTTCAAGGCAATGAGATTAGTGACAAATACAGTTAAGTTTTCCTAAATGTTTCCATTATACAAGGTCATTTTTTGGTTGCTTACAGCTTTTTCAGATTTTTATTACTCTGGCTGAAATTTGGTTCTTGAGAGGACTGAGAGTAAATTTTTCCAGAGCGTCAAACATCTGACCCATCTTCAAGTGTGAAGATATAAAAAATTAGTTTTTCTCCCAAAGAAAATTGTTTCTTTGCCCTTTGAACAGCACTTGCACATCAGGAGAAGGTGGTATTGTAAACTTCATATTTTATGGAGACAGTAATCTTAGGTTGCAGATAGACCAGTGAAAACTGGATTTGATTTTGCTGAGTTGTAAGCATTTAAAAGTTGTGCGCACTGGATTATGTTAAAATAGTCTTCTATTTATCTCCTAAAATTCCATTGGTAATTTATGTGCGTGCGTGTATGAAGTGAATGGAGTACACAGTGGCTCAGGACTTTGCTGTGTGCACACATGCATGCATAACCAAGGGGAGGGAGGTTGAAAAGGTCGGAGTATTGTGGAATTTGGAGGGAGTGTAATGGGAACAGGTAGGATTCCTTCAGAAATCTGCTTTATTTCACCTAACATAGAGGCAGGACTCCAGAGAGCTCTGGGCTGAACGATGTAGATAAATATGGAATGCAGCAAGGCTTCCTGTCATTGATTGCATACACAGTGCAGCGATGGATCGTCTATTGATAGCTAGTAAAATCATGGCATGGTTGTGGAATGTCATTGTACAAATAAAAAAGAAAATCCCACCCAACAACTACATCAAAAGAGTGCTTAGCTGCCAAGAGCACCCAGACGTCAGGAAATGCCAACATTTCAGTTGTTTCCTCAATTTCAGATCTCTCTCTCTGTGTTTGCCTCGAGATGTGGACTTTTTGACCGTACACTCCTTTTTTCTAAGACTCTTGCCTCCTTCAGTGTACATTTTGGGCAGCTGAACAATGAGATGTTTTGTAGTGACTTCTTCCAGTGTCCTGCTATACTCCTTGTGTGCTGTATCAACACGAGGCCAATGTCTGCAGCCAGGTTGCCTCGTTCAGTTTTGAAGCTATATGATGTGGCTTTGATGTATCAGAAGAGGAAGGTTTGTTGGGATGGTAAAAGCAGTGGATTGAGACCCCGGAGTCAGGAGGTGGGTTCTTATTTTTTGTTTTCCCTATTCATCTGTCTGTCTAACCACAACACGTGAGAGTTGCTGATGTGAAAATGTCCACAACTTTGTTGTGTTAATTACTACACCAGGAGTTGTAATGATCGCACCTGGCTCTGAGAAACACGCGAACTGTGATACGCTGGCATAGCCATCCCAGTAAATTAAGAAAGCTCTCCTGCAGTTTGTAGTAGGATTGGAGTAGTATTGTAGCCATGATGATCCAGGAAATATCCAAGTAGCAAAGGTTTTTTTGGTGATTATCTTTTATTGGACCAACTGAAGAAGGGCACTTTGTGCCTGAAAGCTTGTCGTGCCACTTGTACCCATGTGAGTAGTTCCGCTGATATTGGTCTGGAAAGGGTTTGTGAGGTTGGACTTCGAATGTCCTTGCCTTTGTCCTTCAAATCAGAACCATTATTTTTGTCTCTCTCAAAAGTGAAAATGATAATTATGATACAGATTACAAGTGCTAAAGTATGGGGTGAACATGCGGACCGACCGTCTGAATTTGTCTATTGTCTGAATTGGAATTTTTAAGAATTTCCAGTTAATTCATATTTTACCAAGAAAAAGCTTTCAAGTTACCTTCACATAACTTCTAAGAAATAAGAGTTTGTTTTGTTAAATTCAGGAGTTGAATAGAAGAGAGAATAATTTCTGGGGACTTTGTCTATTCATATTTATGAGAAAAGTGATTGCATGCATAAAATTGTAAGGAAGCCTGGGCAATTTAGCTTGCTGATTGTTAATAGGTTGAAGTCGGGGTACAGAGTAGAAAGGTAAAAATCTCGCATCTGCTGTTACATGTTGTTAACTCCCTCAGCAGACATTAAATCATTTCAAGTACAATAATAGTGTGGGAGGTAAATTAACTAACCATTAACAATCTTATAAATACACAATTAACATGCCAACATTTATATGACACATTGATGGGGCAGCAGTAATTTTTGATTGGGAGTTTGCAGACCTTTTAGAAGCCTAAGGCTGTTGCTTATTTGAGCAAGTTCTCGCTGCCTGCAGGTGAGCAGTGCCTTTTCCAGTACCATGTAAAGTGTAAATCATTCTATTTAAAGAATGTTCTCAGTATGCAACCTGGAACACATTTCTTTTTAAAATACCCATCTATTGCACTTAGTTGTCTCCTGCACTCCTGAGGTCAAACCTCGATAACCAAACTCTTACTGCTGAAGGCCTTCAGCTGGCAATTTACAGCAAGGGGGGATGGATATGTGCCTTTTGGTCTCTCACATCTGGAGATGCCTTTGAGGCAGGCATTTAATTCTTTATAATGGAAATAATCTGGCTGGGCCCCCATAACTGAATTTAATAAAAGTTGCAAAAACGATTTAGATATCATTTATTTAAACTGGTAGTAGGAGGAGAATTATTCTTTAAGAGATGTACTTCTTTCAAATGTAGGTTGACTCTTTTTTTCTCTCCTGCTCTTATTGAAATCCTTGATACTCCTTGAATTATTTTTTCATATTTATATAATGCTTTGAATTTGCTTAGTACTTTACAAAACAGAAAAAGGATATGAGAGATGCAGCAGAGTATAGAAGAGCTTTTAAGAGTAAAGATAATGTAAGCTCTTGTGTTGGATTTTGATTGTCTGACTCTTGGGATGGTTTTATGTGAGGGAGGGACTGGTGGATGAATTCCCAAAGTGCAGTGAGGGCAAGACTTCCTACAAGTTTAGATTCCTCCATAACTTTGATTTTCTCACCATTAGTGATTGGCTTGAAGTAAGCATTACTTTACTTCTAATAGTTTAATACAGATATTCATGATGCCCCAGTGCCAAAGCTGTCTAGTAAGTGGCCTCTAGGTTATAAAATACATTTTCTATCTCCAAAACTTAGTGTGAAATGGTGTGTGGATTTGCTATTCCCGAGATAAACTTGTCTGATGCTGCCTTGTATTCTGCACTGTCACAAACTGCCAGACAATGGTCCAGTTGCAGTGTTTCACCTCATTTCTCTGGGAAAGTGCTTGGTTGGGGAGTAAAATCCTTTTTCTCTCAGTTTTGCCCTTGGAATTACTTTCTCTTTCCTGAAGGAGCTCTTGCAGAATACTGGTGCTTAAATGCTTATTTAACCTCTTGAGTGCTGTAGTTGTGGTAAATATATTTTTTTCTAGTGGTGGGTAGGACTCGCCCATTTGATAAACCACATGAATTGGAAGTTTGGGCTTCTGGGTCCTGCTTCTGATTCTGCCACTGGCCTCAGGCAAAGCACTCTGAGCCTCAGTAAAATGGTGATAACATCTCTCGGAAGGTTTTATAACATTAAGGGCTTTTTTGTAAAACAATTTTAGTCCTTTGAATGAAAGGTTCTAGTTAAGTACAAGTGACTCAGGCACATTGGTATACGATGCATAATACTAATTGTCCCGTATTAATTCATAGAGCAGCAGGTATGAATTGAGTACTGTCTTGAGCTGCAAACCTCTCTTCTTCTTAAATTTTTCCTAAAAATTGTCTTTAAAACTCTCTTCGTTTTTAGATCTAATTCAACAGCACAAGGAGCTGGGGAGAATTTCCAGTTACAGAATAGTCTCTGTTAGGTGAAGAGATGGAGCTCAGTGTATCACTGGTTTAGCACAACTTCTATGCTTGCTTTTCAAGAGTAAGTCATAGAGCAGAAGATGAAAAGCTGAGTTGAAAGACTAGAGGGAGCTGAGAACTCAAGGAGAAGGGTTAAGAGGGAGGGCAAGCTTCAGACAAGCGAATGAATCTGAGATCAAAGGTGGTGTCAGGGAGCTAAAACCAAGCATTCAAGAGGTGGTATGTAGGGGAGGGCACAAAGATAACAGAGTAGGAGGGACAGAGGTGATATCGGAGCATTCTTCTCATGGCAATGGTGAAGGAAAATAAATTCCTGGTGGCTGATGGTTCTGGGTATTACAGGGGCTGAGGGGAGGATGCAGGCTGCCCCTGTTAAAGCCAGGGTTGAGGGAGAGGGGAGATGCCGAGTCCACAAAAGGGAAACCATCCTGAACAGAGTGGTAGCATGTGGTACCCTTTGTTTTGTGTTAGTTATTGACCATGGGGTGTGTTTGATTCACTAATTTATTCTAGGCTGTTGTTTTGGAAATCAAGTCTTTAATTGTCCCGCAGAACAACTGGCACTCTAAGAAGATAGCATGCAACTGGTCTTATGAAATCATCATCACTTTGAAATAATTTGGTGTATAAAACCAAGTTTACTAAAGTTTCCACTCTGAATGTGAAAAAAAAATCTTTGAGTAGGTGCTGGTCACTCCCTTTTTCTGAAAATGCTGTGTTCATTGTGTTTCCAGGTAGGCATGTTCATGGAGCAACATGGAGAAAAGAAGATAGCATAGTAAGGTGGTGGAGTTGAGGACAGCATGGCCTTCCTGGACAACCCAACCATTATACTGGCTCATATTCGGCAGTCACATGTGACCAGTGACGACACAGGGATGTGTGAAATGGTCCTGATAGATCATGATGTCGACCTAGAGAAATTCAATCCCTCTTCAACAAATGGGGACAGTGGTTCAGAAATGCAGGGAAGCAATGGGGAGACTCAGGGTTATGTATATTCCCAATCAGTCGATATTACCTCAAGCTGGGACTTTGGGATTAGAAGACGATCTAACACAGGTAAATGATATTTGAAAAAACATCTGCTAGAGTTTAAATTAAAAGTTTAACCTTGTTTACATGGACTGTTGATAGGATTGCTTGCCATTTCATAGAATCGCATAAAGTAATAATAGAAGGTAGGCATGGGGGAGACTGCAAGTCCATCTCCCTGCTCCAGTAAGATCAACTGTGTCTAAAAATCTGTTGGCCCTTTCCTTTCTAACGTATGGCTGTATAAGTAGATCACTTCCATTAAAAAAGCATAACAGTTCAATTTCTTAAGTATGCTGTAATCTAATTTTTAATTGATTTTTTTTTTTTTTTTACTCGTGCCAAATAGAGCATACAAAGAAATTTTAAGTACTCAATTTTCCTCAAAGAATTAGTTTTAAAACATTCCTTAATGAAACCAACAAACACCAAAATTCCAGGATCAGGCCTTCAGGGTCACATTAATTGGGTACACAAGTACTTTTTACGAAGCGTCTTCTTAGTGGGGTATCAAACCCAATCTTTCTGGTAGCAAGGATTAAAAACAATGAAAAAATCAAGTAGAGAAAGAAAGGAGTAAGAGGACAAGAAATCCCAGAAGAATGGAACAATTTGGGGATAGGATGGGAGAGGACTTGTATGTCCTGTTGAGGCAGAGTGAGGGGGAATTGGAAAGAAGTGAAGAAATGAGTGTAACGCGGGTTTGTTTCATATTTACCACATTTCATGCGGAAAACTTTCAATTGCTCACTTAAGTGAAGTGAGGGAGCTGGTGGCCTGGTTGTTGCTTCTAATTAATCTTGAGTCCTGCTACCCCTGAGTGTATAGAGCAGGTCAGGTGTCTAAAAACTACCTGCTGAAGTAACCTGTCATTTTCCTTCTCTCTGCTAAATGTCTGTAATGTTGCATGCTAGTGTTAGTCGTCTTGGGGCAGGGGTATGCACGCAGGTTAGGCGGTAGAGAGCATCCTCGAATCAAGGGATTGCCAACAGTGAGGACAACTGAGAGGAAAAGGAGGGCGTGCAGCAGCTGCCTGTGTGCACACCGTTAGCCTGTGGCCAGAGAAAACCAACCCAGAGTAGTTTGTTTCTCAATGGGATGTTCAGGATATGCACAGTGAATGCTGATAGTGTGCGCCAAAGTAGGTCAGTCTCTGGATGGCCTCTTGTGGAGCTTTAGCCAACAGCTGATTTTTGTAGTGCCAAGAGTATAGAACTAAGGCACAACAGGAACTATGTTATGGGGGTCTTAGGATTTAAGTTAAATCTTAGTTCAGCAATCTAATTTTTGTTGGACTATCAAAGTTTATCCATTTTTTTCCTGGTGCTGCTAGGGTCTAATAGATCTGCAAAATATTGGGTGTATAACCAGCACTGGTTGTATAATATCAGTTATATTGTCATCTTAATATCTTGCTGTATCCTCCACCTGGAGGAAAATTAAATAGGATTCCAGCTCTCAAAACACAACAAATTAAAGAGATTTGCCCTTTAAACATATATGAGCACCTCAGTTTCTGTTGAGGAGGAGAAAGTATCACTTCTCCATCCTTTTGCATGGGGGAGCAGAGTTGAATGTATGTGGAAAGCCTGGAAGAGGAGGATTTATTTCCTGGTTAGGAGCATGCAGTTTTAAATTTTTTGTAGGTATTACAACACCACCTAGAGCTCAGAAATAAATCTAACTATATTCTACCTATCTAGTGGTGTACAGTATTAAGTATCTCAAGGTACTCTTACTAAAAGTAAAGTATTGTCCAGAGTTATGAAAAATAATGAATAGCATTGATTAAGCATAATTTAGGTTTCTTGATAAATTTGGCATAGGGTGTTTAAATATAGTTTTGCATTTTGACTGAAACGTGTTAAGAAGTTGAATGTGCTTCTCAAAGAAGTATCACAGTACTTTCTTTGAGAGCTATTTCGGTGTAGTTGCGGTTATGACACACAAAAATGGAGAGGGAAAGTTTTCTGATTTGTGGAATTGCTCCAAAGAGTGGTACTGCCAGATAAGTTCAGTGAGTGGGTAGTTTGAGAAAAAAAACTACATTAAATTCTTGTTTGAAATCATTTAACTTCCCAGTTAGTGGCAGGTTTAATATAGTGGTTAGCACAGTCTCTCCAATGGAGAGCCAGGTTGCTGCCAGTTTTTCCTTTCTTTTCATAATATGCTCTTGAATGTCCCCCTGTCTTCTCCTCTCATGTACACTGGTACCACCATGCAGTTAGTGAAATTACCAAGGCATTCATAGCTCATGATGGGAAACAATCAGAGCAGCAGGGAAGGTAAGTTCAGTCCTATTTAACCTTTTTCCATAATACAAGAACAAGGAGTAATCCTATTAAATGGCTACAATTTTAGAACTAATAAAATACTTTTTACAAAATATGCATACCCAATAATTAGTTAGTCTGAAGAATTTGGTGACAGAAAATCTTATATTCAAGGACTTTAATGGACGTCAAAAAAGAATGAAACTTTTGTATAACTTGCTCAGTTAGCTTTGGTAGGTAAAAAAAATAAAAAAAGGGAGGGGGGGTCATCCCTTTCATGCTTTGAGGTATAAGTAACTATTAACTGCCCAGACTTCTCTCATGTAGCTTGTTCCAGAACTCTCAAAAATTCTGCTAACAGGGCTCACAGCTTCCTGGAGGGAAGCTTGACTTCATTTCCAGTGAGAGGTGGTGCCGTCTTACCTGATGTCACTTCTGATTTTGGTCCAATGGTGAAGAGTCATCTGCTAATTTGAACAGTTCCTCTTAAAATCCTGTTAAAGAGCACCAGCCCCCTTGAAGAAGAGCTGTTGGACTAGATGGCCTCCTGAGGTCCTTTCCAACCCTACTTTTCTATGATTCTTATCTATAAAGAATAAAGTCAAAATGGCCATTACTTATTTAAAAAATACCTAGTGCAGAAGATTCCTAAGGGTTTTACCCATGTGGGTATATAGGCAGTCCTCGACTTACAATGTTTATAAATTGACACCCTGTTTTCGACTTTACAACGCTTGATCCGACACCACACCACACCAGCGAACAAGTTCGTTGCACTGCCCATCTCCCTGGAGAACATCGCCAAAACTTCCTTGGACACTTTCTTTAAGAAAGACAAGACTCCAGAAGAACCTGCAGCCAAGACTCCTGAGAAGACTCCAGCCAGGGGCCCTTCCAAAAATCCAAGCAAGAGCCCTTCAAAAAGTCCAGCAAGGTCGCCTCAAAGAAGTCTTTACAAATAATATGATTGCTATTTACAATATAAATACTTTAATGTAGCTACATTACTCATCTATCATTGACTGAGTACAACGTTCTGGGTTGTTTTTGGTGAAAATAGGGTGTCGGGCCTTGGTTCAGGAACCAATCCCCCATTTATAACATTGTTTCCTATGGGGAAATTGGTTCCGAGTTACAACGTTTCAACTTAAAGACCCAGTTTCCAGGAACCAATTGTCATAAGTCTGAGGACTGCCTGTATAGAAGAGTGTGTGTTATGTTACGCATTGAGATTTAAAATCATTTGCCACTAGGCACTAACACTGTCTTAAAAAGGCCTTTGTTTTAACTCTGATGCCAATTGATTTATTTTTAAATGTTCAGAAAATACGTTCTATATTCATTGAGTGAATTCTGTCATTTTGAGGAAGATGAACAGTATTCTGCATACACAGAACACTTCAGTGGCTGGATATTTCCTTTGAATGTGAAACTCAGTCTAACTATGAAACTGCAACCAGTGCTTAGCTATTGTTATATGGTTATTTTTTGTTAGCTACTTAATTTCATGGCTGATTGTTTGAGCGTTCGTTCTTTGTCCCGAAGAACAGGAGACTTGGTTTGTTTGTTGACACGTAGCTGAGATGCTTTGTGTTAGAGCATAGTAGGTGGAGTAGTCCTGTCTTCTAGCAGATAATGGCAGACATTTTCTTAGGGTAGAATCTCATTTTTATTCTCTATTATTTTCATATCCAGCTATATGCTTTTACAAGATTTTTTTTTTATGTAAGCTTTCATTTACCATCCTTTGTTTTGGATGGAGCTGAATTCAAATGGTTTAATCAAAATCCATTTCATTACACAGCCTTTAGTGCCTTACCTGTGTGTTGCTGCTGTCTCTCAAGCTGTGGAAATAGGCTCTTTACTGCGGCAGGAGGGACTCAACACTTGTTACAGGCAACAGAAACATTGGCTGTTGAGTACTACTTCTCTCTGCTTATATGTTTTAGAGTAGGTTCGATTTCAGGTTTTAAACCTTGAGAGTTACTCAAGGGTTGTAAAGTAGAAAGCTGTCCTTACCAGCCCCTCCTTCCTCTCACTGACCCCTTTCCCTGCCCCCAAAATCCTAAAAAAATCCTGGAGGTGGTGAGAAAAGGTTATTACAGTTGGTGAAGGGCTTTAACAATTTCTTCTACCCAAAACTCAGGGCTAAGAACAAAGGCTCATCAAATTCTTAATATTTAATGGAAAGAGACTACATATGGTCAACGAAATTTTTGACACTGAAAGCTTTCAAACTAATACGTTTGTGAGAATGAACCTTAAATAATTCAAACTTCTAATAGATACTGATAATTCCATCTAATTTAGAGTTGCTATAGTACAATTATGTAATGAATGATAATTTGGAACCAACTTTATGTAGGAAAGGACTCTGAAAAAGGAATTTTGTTGAGATGGAATAACTGCACGTGTCTCCATTTGTTTGGTGAAGGGGACATTAACCCTTCCCTGTACAAAACCAGATTTCTCTAGCTGGATTTCTAGGAAGCCTAGAAAGATTAGGGAAGAGGAAGACACCCTAGCTGAGTGTGAAGGCCTTGGGGAATGATCACATTCCCCCACATAGCCACAAATTGTTAGAGTAGGTTTAGACTAGACATCTGAAGGCACTACTTCGCAGTCAGGGCAGCTAGGATCTGGAACCAACTCCCAAGGGAAGTGGTGCTGGCTCCTACCCCGGGGGTCTTTAAGAGGAGGCTTGATGTCTACCTGGCTGGGGTCATTTGAGCCCAGTTTTCTCTCCTGCCCAGGCAGGTGGTCAGACTTGAAAGGGACTACAAGGTCCCTTTCGACCCTACTTCTGTGAATCTATGAATGGTGCAGAACCCCCTTCCTTCATGTACGAGCAGCTCTGCGCTCCTCACACAGGACCTTGTAGGCCTGAAAAAATGCATGTGGCTTTGAGAGGGTCCTCTGTACTTGGCGGGATATGGTCCCTTCTTTATCCATTGTCGACTGGATATGATGGGCTCTGGTGCTGAATAAAAAAGAAGCACTACTCTTTCTTTGTTCCTCCATCCCTTTCCCTGGTTACAGCGAAAGATGAAGACAAAAACATTTCAAAAAGTGAAAAGTTATTGTAAATGCAGACATATTTACTAATAAGGGGTGTTGGGCTGCAGGTCAGGCAGTTTTGAGAGGGATGCTTTTTATAGTGGTACAAATCAAAAATGTTTTTTGGAAGGTAATTTTTAACTGACTTGACTAACAATTTAGAGGGATATGACTGCACCTTTTAAAATATAATTTTCACAACAGAATAGCATTTAATGCTGTACATTTTGCAGTTATGAGTGGAAATGTTCCCACTTCTTTCTTACACTTTGGCCAAGATCCACAAAAGCATCGAGGCCCCTAAATATCATTGTGGATCTTATTTTTAAGGCATTACCTCTAGTACTGGCAATTTTTTTCATCAGCGATTTGGCTGAGAATCTGATACTTAGAACAGCAGTTGGGAGCCAAACGTTTTTTACTAAGTACAAAGAGGTGAAGGTCTGGAATATATTTATCAAAGTTTGGGGGGATTTTTTACTAGTAAAATTGCACAGAAATTAAAATTATGTTTTAAAATTGTCAGAATAATTTAGTATTTTAAAATCTCCTCTAAGGGCCCATTTTAGTTAATGAATGATCTCAATACATCAAAATTGTTAATATATCCAGCAAATTGTTTCCTTGAATGACCAAAAGCATTAGTTCTACTTGCCAGTCTAATCTGCTTTCTTGTTGGCAATGGATGCATTACTGCATCAGTAATTTCTGGTGGTCATTTTCTTGGGGTAGCTTCTACCAGGTTATTTACTTGACAGTTCATCTTCCGAGATAAATGTAGTGTTAAAAATAAGTGAATTTAAGGCATCAGAGGGGCCCCTAGTGTCTCAGTTTTTTGATATTTGAACTATTTGAGGCTTATTGTTAATCCCCGTTTTGGAGATTGAGTCAAAATATGTAAAGAAATATTATATTCTTTTAAAGATTTAACTAATGTTGTGAAGATACAAATCATTTATTTTACTACCTATAAACTGTTTCAGCACACTGAAGAAAAAGCTATGCTAATTTATATAGCTTTGACATTTTATAATTTTCATGATTTTTAGATAAAGGATTTTATATTTAAAACTTTAATAGTCTAGTCTGAGTTCATTTATCTTTAATTTTTGAAACGGGTAGAGTAATTCATAACAGTAATTTTATTCCTGTAATGTAATATTCACTTCAGTTCATTTGTGCATTAAAATTCCTTTAAGACCGTTATTAATGATTTATATAATGAAATGTCATATTAATCACAGAAGTTTTCACATTTTATTATTCTCTTCCATGTTAATACTATCTTTATGATCTCTATTAATGTTTTATATCCTCTAATTTCAATTATAAATCAAGAACATTTTCATGTTTTTGTTGGTATTTGCTTTTCAGGGGTGCCACCTTTAAAATTTTATGACTTTTCCCCCTACATATGCAGTATAAAACATCTTTATTCATATAAAGGTAGTTAATTATGTCTTTGTTTATAGTAAACTTTCATTGACAAACTTATAGTTATAATATTTCTTTTCAAGCTCAGAGACTAGAACGACTACGAAAAGAGAGACAAAACCAGATAAAATGCAAAAATGTTCAGTGGAAAGACAGAAATACTTCTTATTCAGGTAAAAAAATATATTTTACTTTTACTGTCATCTTTATGTTTGATATTTGTTTGCAAAATATTCAGTTTGTAATTTTTACTTGCACTTCCCAGGCATAGGGGAAATACCAGTTCATAATTATGACTTTCTTCCTCCCCCCTCCTCCCTCCCCCCCCCGTTGTGTGTTTCCCCATAGATATTTGACTACAGTTCCCTCGACCCCATTCCTTTTCAGCTCTAACTAACACACGATGATTTACAATGACAAAGAGAAAATAAAGAAATTGTTTAAAAGCTACTGTCCTTGGTTGGATTTAATAAATTACGATTTTTTAGAATATCTCAAAATAAATATTGCTTGTTAATACAGTGGTTGCAGACTTGGTAGCTTATAATTTCATTGTTTATCTTACATTTTTAAGGCTCTTTTTAGCTTGATAAATCAACACTGAGGACAATGAAATTATGCTTGGGATTTTTTAGTGGGGAGCTTGTTTAATGAATCAAACAACTGGTGAGATTTGACCCTGCGTGCTATATAGGTAGGCATGCTAAAAACATCTCCATCCAGAATGGAAGACCCCTCTGTTTAAGCAAGTGAGAGAATATATTTCAAATAAGCTTGATGTTATGGATGAGTGTATGTATAATTAATTTTTGTAAAGGTTGCATTTTCAGATTGTAAAAATAATTCTGTCACTTTTCTGGGTAAGGAGGAATTTAAAAAGACTATTAAAATAGAGAAATGCTATTAAAAAAAGCTGACCTTTGCCTTCAGGGACCTGTAGGCTTTTGGGGGCTTTTAAGCAGTTTTCTATCTTGCCTTCACTTGATTGAATCATTATCAAAAAATGAAAGATGGTTCTTGTTCTCAGTGTAATCTATAAACATAGGATCTCAAGGAATTTTAGAATTAACTTAATCCAGAAATGCTGTTTTTGGTTTCCTTATTTTTGGAACCAGTGTAACTATTGTCTCCCCTGCAAATATCTATACCTCTCTTTTTGAATAATTTAGTTCCCCATACTGGTATTCTTTGTAATTTAAATGGCAATATATGAAAAAAAAATTCATCCCAATTCTCTTAGTTCTTAGCTCAAGCTAGTATCTGTTCATGTTGTATTTGACACACACTCTCAAAGGCTTGCATGGTCTGTCATGCCTACTTCTTTCAAAATGTATGTCTATCTTAATGAGGTCTCTATGTAATCTCATCTCTGCCTAAGTCCCTGTATCTTTTTGGGTGCCCTTTGCAGAACCTCTTCCAGGTCTCTAATATCTTTTTTATGAGAATGAACAGAGCTGCTCACAGGATTCCAGACATGGTTGCACTAATCCCCAAATACAGTTTCCAGAATGTTTGATACCTCTACTAATGCGTCCTCAAATGTTTTTGCCTTTTTACTCCTGTTAAGCACTGTGGTGAAGGTTTTAAGGTTTAATCTACCATAATCTCCAGCTCCTTTTGCTCAATGTTTTGACCACTCAAGGTATAGTCCTCTCTTCTTGTTTGTTATTCCTTACTGTCGCAGAGCACCGAGGTGCTCTGCTCCTAAAGAGGAGAAACTGCTAGAGAAAAAGCCCTAGCAGGGAATAAGGAGCCCACCTGCGGGTTGCCAGGGCAACCGGAGGCAGCAAACGACCCACACCTGCCAGCCGTCAGCTGGCTGTAAAGGGCAAGGCCTGGTTCTTATAAAGCCCAGGAGCTGAGGCCAGGGCAGTTCCCTGCCAGCAGCCAGAGAGAAAGGAGCTCCTGGAGCAATGATGCGAGGAGAAGCCTGACCGCAGGTACAGCTCAAGCCGGGTAAAGGATGTCTGAGCCCTGTGATTTAGCCGGGTGGCTTTAAGTTATGTTGTAGCCTAGGGGCTTGTGTTCTGCTTTGTGGTTGTATCACCGGTGGTTTGGGTGAGGCTATTAGGGGTTGGAGGAGGCCTCATAGGGGGCCAACAGTAGCGTGGGGACCCCAGCGCCAGTGAGGGCGTGGCGTACGGGGTGCATAGACCCCAGCCCCAGGAGGGGGCACTACTGAGAAGCCCCAGTGCGGGCCTAGCGAGCCCCAGAGAGGGGACACTATTGAGAAGCCCCAGTACGGACATGTCGAGGCCCAGAGAGAGGGCAGCAGTGCTGAGAAGGCCCCAGAGAAGGGGGCAGCACTTGAGAAGGCCCAGAGAGATGGCAGCAGTGTTGAGAAGGCCCTAGAGAAGGGGGCAGCACTTGAGAAGGCCCCAGAGAGAGGGCAACAGTACAGAGAAGGCCCCAGAGAGAGGGCAACAGTACAGAGAAGGCCCCAGAGAGAGGGCAACAGTACAGAGAAGGCCCCAGAGAGAGGGCAACAGCGCAGAGGATTCCTGAGAGAAGACAGCGCTACGAAGAGGACCCCAGAGAGGGCGAGTGTAAATGTGACAGACCAACATCTATTCCAACTGCGAGGCTTGGGGCGTGGTATAAGGGGTGGTTGGAGCCACGCATAGCCCATAAGGCTAGGGTGCCCCGAAGCACCCATTTGCAGGACAAGACCCACGAGGGGTCCGGGAGTCTACAGGACCAGAGGTTACAACGGACCGTGTCCAAGAAGACGTGGGGCAGCCTCCCTAATATATATTAGAACATCAAAGACGTGGCGGGCGAGAATTCGAGGGTGCCCTTGGGCCAACTTGGTATGGAGAGAGGGGGCCTTAAGGAGATCACGGCCCTCCTGGAGGACCCCGCCATGACACTTACTATATTGCTTGCTGTGTCTTTGCACTGAAGAACATTCAGATCTGGTTTTTATTCAAGCTATTTGTATTTTCTTCTAGTTAGCCCCACTGACCCATGACATGGGGTGCCTGCTCTGTGGAGCTCTGGTGCCAGACTGGGCTTGTTAGCCAGTGGCAGAGGGAGATGCAGCTCCCCCTGAGAAACTGTTAGTTTTCTATTTACTTCTCCAGCTGCAAAGCACGAACAGGCCGACTAGTTCTTCCTGGCTTTCAAGCAAATTTACATTAGAAAAAAAAAAAGGAAAGAAGTCCTTAAAATTGCCGAGTTCTTGGCACCTGCTTTTATTAGAACAAGTGCTTGTGTTTCTCCCCAAAGTCACGGGGACTCTTTGGCCCCTGCTCACCCTCATGGAGAGCAGCATGGTAGAGCAGAGCCAAAGAAAGAGGGATCAATCCTCTTAACCTCTATCCAAGGAGGATTAAGAAGGCACAAGAAAAGAGGGTTTCAAGGGTATTTGGGCCCCAATAGTTGCCTCAACAGTAAGCACTAGGGGGGAAAAAAGAGTCTCACTATCTCCTTCATCTTACTAAAACTGATTCAGGGAATTTGTCTAGGAGTCAGTCCAATGGGCACAAAATGAGAGCTGACTGAACTCTGTGAGGATAAGTTCCTCAGTATAAGTTCTTGGCATGAAGTCTGGGAGTAAATGTGAGCGTCGGATGCCCCTTCTCGCTCTCGCAGGCGACAGCAAATCAATGCAGAAAAGGTGGGTCTGGAGTGTGCTTCCTTCCCTTTACCCATGGATATGTACGTGCCCGCAAAGGGAGCTCACCTCTGTAGGAAGGGAGGCAAGCATTGCAAGTCAGAGCTGGAGACGCAAATAGTGAGAGACATTTTAAACTACAATCATAGAGGAGAGAGTGTTTATGTGGGAGCTCTGCAGGTGCTTTAGAAGCCTTGTAGGTATGTATCACTCCTTATGCCCCTTGGGAAAAGGTAACCATGCAGTTAATTTTGTGCTGAGCAGGGGCAAGGGTTAGTTAACACTTTCAGTAGAGCCCTTGCGGTGGAGTAAAGGCAGGCACTGTCACCCATGCCTTTTTTTGAAACTGAAATACTTGATGAGGGAAGTCAGTCTCTCCAGGAAAGGACCCATTTGTGAGCTGCTCCCTGTATCTTCTGGGATCGGTGGTCTCCTGGGTGGGCATTGTTATTGAGCCCGTGCTCACATGAGGCAGGTACCGAGCTTCCTCTTATTATACCTCTGGCAGAGGTTGCTCCCATCAGGTCGCTGAGTCTGAGCAGATACAAATCCAAGGTAAAACGACTCATGCCCATCTCTGTTGGTATCGGCATCCAGCATAGTTACCATGACAGAGACCTCCCAGGGTAGACAGAGTCTGGGTGACTGAAACTTGGGGAGCGCACTTTACATGAAAATGAAGTGGGATGCAGAACTGAGCAAAGATTAACTCCAGACTCCATAGAGCTCGAGAAATTGTCCTTCCAATTTTGTCGCATCCCTAAGAGAAATCTGCACAGTATGTATTCATCACATAGCTCAGTTTCAAAAGAAAAATGTTGTGTTTCTTCTTTACCAGCTCGTGTCAAAGGGAAAGAAGGGTTCAGAATGATCTGTTTCCAGGTCGCTGTCTCAGAAGCATACAGATCTAAAAGCAAAATTCTATCTTTTAAAAACCAAAGCTGACGCCATCAGAGGTGTGGCAGTTCAGGGGCAGAAAGATTATATACCTCATGCAGAGAAATCTGTGAAGTAACCACCTGTTTCCTCATACCTCTCCTGAATTCTATGAATTGCAAATCCATTTATCATCTAAGGTCGTCAGGAGATAGGTGCTACTTACTGGTCTATCCTAGTATCTCTTGACGTCATCCTCTTCTGTCTTGGTACATAATCATGAATACTCCCCTCCCTTAGTGGACGTTTGCTCTGGAAATCATGGACAGATGGAGTAGAAATATTTATTTGTGACTTACCTGCAAATGTCCTTTCTTGGGCTCTACAGATCAAACCTCCCTGAATGGGCTGTCAGTTGGGAGAAGATACTGACTGGATCATTGGCTGGTACCCCATGTATATTATTCACTGAAGGCCTTGCTCTTCAGGAGAATTGTTCTATTTAGTGTTAATGTTACAGTTTGTACAAGTAAAGACTGGTTAGAGAGTCCCCAGGCTATGGAGCCATCTCAACTGGTGGTTTCTCTGATGTGGCCCTTCCTCATCTGATACTGGTTCCAGATTTGGTCTGCCTCTGAGCCTGCATAGAGCAGAGATATCATGGATCTGTGGACCCTATTGTACCAAGAAAAGAAATATTCAAGTAGGGCATAGATATATATTTTCTGTTATTGCCCCTCTCTTATATTTCGCTCCCCATTCTGCAGCTTTTGGCTCTGGGTGACATACTTCACCTCCATGCATTTTCCTTATCCCATGGTCATGGAATATGAACTGATCAGAAACAGATTGTGAAGCAGCTCTTTTGAAAGACAAAATTAACTTTCTCTCCTGAACTCTGTTTCTTTCTCAAACAGCTTGTTGTAATGAGCTGTTTCTAAAATAGGCTGCTTTTAAAACCTGCATGATTTTAAATTCTTTTGAATTGCTGAGTCTATCAAATTTGAACCTGTCACATGTCTAGATGGCCCAATGGTTCTTTTCCAGAGAGGACCTACCATTTTTAATATACTGGTAAGACTGACAGTGAGAACATACTGTCACTGGTACTTGTGAAAAAAATTGGGCTAATTGGTATATAGCATGTATACCCTGAAACCTGGCTTGAGAGACCAACAGATCATTGCCTTTGCAAGAGATAATTGGAAGCAGGTGGAATTCCCAGTCTGCTCCAGAGTGTACGTGCCCCATAGGTAAAGACATCCGAACCTCTCTTTTCTGGTATATGACTAGATAGGATCTTTACATAGCAAGAGCATAACAAAGTACAAGCCTCCGCCCCAGCTTCATTGGGATGCTCCTTGGGATTCCAGCAGGGGCTTCCTCCATCCCATCCTCTAATTGCTTGTGTCTCGGGAAGGACAGGCAGATGTGGGGATGGCTTGGAAGCAAGTAGGGAAGGAAGGACAGGGAGGATCGCCATCACGGCTCATCATCTGCATGGGACAGAGTCCACAAGATAGCTCTGCAAGTGCGTTTTTGTGAGAATAGGCCTGTGGCTGCACATGTACATAGTCCTCGAGTAATGGTAGACTAGGGGAAAGTAGAGACGTGTAGGGGGAAGCTGATGAGCGGGTGTTTAAGGAGAGCCTGTACACAGCAGTGTGAAGGTAGACATTAATGTCTGAGTTACTAGAGCTCTAGACTTTGTTCCCATTGTGCCAGAGATTTGCTTCCCTCCCCGTGCCTCGGTTCTCTCACAGCAGCACTGGCGTGTTGCAGCAACATTCATGTTAGAGATATCTACTTGGGGAACAGCATAAAATTGTTCTCTAAAACAGTTAAACTTGCTATGCCCAACTCAAATCCTCAGGGCAGAATAATAACAAGACTTGACACTAAAACAGTTGTTTGGCCATACATTTCAAAGTGGTAATAAAAGCAGATAAATATTTAGTATCTAGATACTGGGGGGGTTTGTTTGCTTGTTTGTTAATGTGTTTTTTGTTTGTTAAGTTGCTGATCAGCTTTTTTTGCCACGTATGCATACAAATGCCTAGTTTCCACACAAATGTTGTTTGTATTGCTGTAAGAACTCTGTTACAGATTATTTTTCTTGAATATTTTGTGGTTCTGTAAATTGCAACCAGGAGTTTTCTGGTTTTGTTTTTGAATGGGGAGTCTTGAGAAGGAGATTAAAATATGGTATGAAAAGTAATGGGATGCACTAATGTGTTTGCACGCATGTGCATACGTGTGTGTTTTAAAATGTTGGCTGTCTATCCACCAGGGCTTTGTAATGAGACCCGGGTGGGTTTCACCTACCAAAAGGAAGGCTAGCAGTGAACTTGGAGAAGCTTTACAAGACAACCTAAGAAGGTGTTTAATTTGTTGTTCAGATGAATTTATCAATAAGATATTGATGAAACTGAAATATGCAATGAAGTAGGCAAAAAGCAGGATAAATAACCAGTAAATTTTACAGTCCATTGAGACAGTCTTAGAGACGCTTTGGACCTGTAGAAAATAACACGTATAGCTAAAAAATTCCATAGAAGACAAAAAGAGAAATAATAATATGGTGCAGGCTAATTATGAATATTTCCTTTAAGCAGAAAGTGAATGTGGTGTAGTAAAACCTAGTGCACTGTAAAGGCATGCTCTCTGCCTTCCTTTCTAAAACCAAAGGCTGTTAAAAGCGGTGTTCCCTGCCATTTCCGCTAGGTTTGGCCTCTTCCTTCTTAGAGCCAAACCTGGCTGGGAATTTTTCAGTAAAACATTGGTTGAATATTTCTGTTCATCTGAATTCAGACTTTTTTGGGAATATGCCTGTTTCACCAACAGCAAATAGTCCGATGATTAGGGCTGTCACCTAGGTTCAAGGCTCTGCTCTTCCTGACTTGGATCAGGACTTAAGCCAGGGTCAGGGTGGCTGTGTTTCTCAGTGTCTCTTTCCCGAACTGTTTTATTTGGTACGTATAGATAAGGAGGGGGAGAGACGGAGACAGAGAGGAGTCTTCCACATCCCAGGTGAATGCTTTAAGTGCTAGGCCTTTTGGCGCAATTAGCTCCGTCTCATGTTTTGCACAAAACCATTAATGGCTGTTGGGCTCATTCTTCTGATACAGAATGGGAAAATTTTTTGAAATCTCAAAATTTTTCAGGATGGGAAACCATTTCCTAGCCAGCTGTACTCACAGCATTGTGGAAGAAGCTGTAATTCTAAACTCCTGAGTCACACGTGGTTTGGACTCAAAAACTATACAACATTCAAAGCAAAACAGATGCTACAGTAATGAACACAGAACACCAGAGCTCCTCTTTCTGCACGTCCCAGCAAAGAAAACAATAAACAAAGACATCTCAAACATTTCCCAAGAAACAAAACTAGCAAATAAACCACTTGCTTTCGCACTTGAACCAATAAAACCATTCTACAGAACTCCAGGGTACAAAGTGCCTTCCAAAGGCACAAGAAATAATGGCTCACAATACTACATAATTGCAAATGAGAATTTTTTTTTTTTTTTAAACAAGAGCAACTGAAAACAAACTTGCCATATAAATGGAATGCATAATGGGGTATATGTTTTCACAGTTAAGGAAAGAGTTTAATCACACTTTTCTGGGTTAACCTCCATCCCCCCAGGCCAGTTGGGTCTCTTTTGGTACATACATCTGTGTAGCACCCTTGCCAACTGTCTGAATTTTCAGGCAATCTGCTGGATAAAAATAAAACTGAATTTTTTACTAGTTAGAGTTTGACAAGTTTTAATTTCACAATTTAAAAAATGAACTGACTGCCTGCAACAATGGTTTTTGAGTCCCTGTTCAATCTGCCTTAGTAGCTGTTTTAATTCTCTGGAGGAGTAGCATGTAAATCTTTGGGACGTGAGAGAATCCAAACGTATGAATACAGAACAGAGCACAATCAGTTTAGGGGAATTGATGCTGATTCTCAGAGAGAGATTGATTGAGTTTGGGGGTGGTTTGCTCCTTGAGCAGATGTTTTGCAAACTTGCCCATACTTGGTCGTGGTTACCAGAGAATCAGACATGTTGGTACCAGTAGGCTAAAGTGCTATAGGCTTTGAGCTATATTCATCCATCCTGATTTTGCAGTGACCTTGTAACAAGGACCTTCCCTTTATTTAAAAAAAGTGTCTCTGTCCATAAATTTGAGTTTAAACTCTCCCTGGCTATCCAGCATCCTCGTGTCATATACCATCCTTTATTAGGTTCCATAAGCCTGACAATTGCACAGTAGCTTTTATCACCTTTTTGTCACAGTACTTCTTTCTGACCCAAAATACTTGTCTCAAGAATGGGGTTACCAGTCTTGTTTTTTTCAAATAAGGCCTACAGATGCAGCGTGCTTACTTTGGGGAAGTATATAACATTTGCTGTGCTGGATCAGAGGAGGTATAAGAAGTCTACTCATAGGCCATACTGAGACAGCCTACTCCAAGAGTTATTTTTTCCCCCATTAACCCCATTAAGTTTAGATTAAACCCAGAACCTCAAGCCTGTCTATCTTCCCCAGCTGTTCTATTTCTGAGTATTCATGATATCTGTATTACTGTTATTGTCATGTGTGTTGTAATCTTAGACATTGGGCCTGATTGTGATTGGGCCTCCATTGCAGGATGAATGGTGGGCTCCTGACCTACCTGGTCTAGGCTGTTCAGTATTATATTGCATTTTATTAATTCATCTCCAGTTCATCATCTTCCTACACTAAACATTGTTTCTCTGCATGTGGTAATGCAAATGTTTTTATCTCTTTTTTGAACTGCAGCAGAGGAGCTGAGCTCGCTGTTTGAAAAAAAGAATTTCAAAGTCAAGTCTCCACGTTTGGGGAAGCAGTCTATACTATCTGTGCGGCTTGAGCAGTGCCCACTGCAGCTGAACAACCCTTTCAATGAGTACTCAAAATTTGATGGCAAGGTAAGGGTACCAGCGATTGATTGATTGATTTATAATTTTTTTTTCCTCTGACATTCAGCTGTCTCCTGACCTGAAGGTTAGCTCACTCCTTCTGCCCTTATGAAAGTGTGATATGAAGATATTTGTTTAGGTTTTAATTAAAAAGCCTAGCAGGTCTATAGTTAATTATCTTTAACGGGTTATCTAGAAACTCCTTTCTTTTAGTCTTAATTGCAATGGTCCCCAGGTGCAATAGAAGCATGAAAATACCGAGTGAATGATATGCATGCTGTGCCTTTGTACATGATGTTGTAGACTTGCATTTCCATTCCAACACATGGTGGCTTAAGTAAAATACTTAGTGCAGCTTTTAGACCTCTCACTCCTAGGCAGGTGGTGGTGAGAGCCTGAGTACCGATATTCTGTTGCATTACACACTGGTTTGAGCTAACCTGTCTAGCCCCAGGTCAGAAGTCTGTGAGTGCCTCACTGTCATGCCCGTATTTATCCTTACAACACCTTTGTGAGGTAGGAAAGGACTTTATCCCATTTTAAGCTGAGAAAATGAGGCAGAGAGAAACTAAAGGCTGAATTCAGAGCTTCCAGAACGCTGAGCAATGCTGTACCTAACTTTTAGGTGCCCCAGAGTGTAGATCACAGCCCCGAGTTACATGACTGAGCTCTCTTTTCCAGTGAGTGGGGAGAGTTAGGCATCTTTCACTGGGATTTTAATTGGCCAGCACACTGACAGTGACTGGTGGGGAATGCTGAAGTGATGGGTGGTCAGCCAGATGACAACTCACAGCTTGGACCCCACCCCGTTCCTGGAGCTTGGTGCCCAAGTGAGAAATGGATCAGGGGGCTGATGCTCCATTTGAAATGCAGTGGAACATGTGTCTTAGACTGGGGAGCTGTGCAGGGGAGCCCTTGTTTTGACATCCCCACTTGGGATTCAGTGAGAGGTGGGTGTCGGGCTGCTCGCTCTGCCGAGGAGGCGGCAATTCTAGACTTGTAGAGAAGTGGAACTTGTACATCTACGGGCATTAAGTCCTTGACAGGTTAGACCGGGTTATAAGGGCTGTGCTCCAGGACTTGAAGCATCATTTCACCTGCTGTCCATGTTAGGTGCCTATGGCCTTTTGTGGATCTAAGCCCAAGTGCCTTGTCCAAGCTTCCATAGAAGGGCTGGCAGAACAAGGAAACTACTAGACTATCCTTCCCTCCCTTTACCACCTGTACTGCATTCCCTAGTTGGTGGTACAAGGTTTTCTGGGGATTTGCAGTGCCGTGTAGAGGGAGAGCATCAGCCTCTTTTCGTAGTCCTTTCTTTCTCTGGACTTTTCCCACTCCTCCGTGCCTGGAAGTGGGAGGAGGCAGGAGTGTATGTGTCGTGTTATGGGAACGGTGAAGGAAGAGTGTTGTGAGCAATCTCCCAGGACTGGATGGCTCCTAGTGTTTCTGCCCCTGTGGTTTGGGCAACGTGTTGGAGTTTGGCTGAGGGCCATAATTGCTGGTGGGTTTGATAGTTGCCCAGAACCATCAGTTGAGCTTTGGCAGGATATGCATTTAGCCTCTAATTCCAGTCATTGGGTCTAGCTGTAGCTGTTGCTGAAATACATGCTGAATTGATGCAAGGGAAAATGAGTTAATCAAAATGAGGCAATTTGAAGATTTCTGTCTAGCAGTCCACACTGTCACCAGAGTTGGTGCATCCCTTAATTAATTAAGCCCAGACTTCTGTCATTCCAGTAGTATGTAGTACTAGTTTTTATATGTGCTAATTGAGAAGAAATTGTACATGGAAAATATACAGCTTGAGCAGTATAGCAACCAAACTATAGGGAATACCATACTAGACCGTATCAAGGGTCCACGTGATCTAATCTAGTCTAAAGCCTTTATGACTGTTTGCCTTGGAGAGATCAATTCTCTTCCCTCCCCATAAAGTTTAGTGCCACTGTGCTAAGCTTTTCTGATTCCTTCCCTGAGGGTGCTTACTTTGTGTTGGCGACCACAATGTAAACAATTTCTTAGATTTTGGTAGGAAAAGCTCCACAAACAATGGCAATTACGGTATCAAAGGCTTTCAGTGCTCGTGGGCAGGCCAGGTGCTTTGGGTAGATGTGATATCTTTTATTAGACCAGCTGAGTGCTCCTAGTGTGCCTTTAAAAATACAATAACGTAAGAAATGCAAAATATAAATGCAAATCATTGCACTTCACTTTGCATACCACCCTCATCTGAGCACAGTCAGCAGAACAATATGGCTTAAAAAACATTTCTCGCTAGCCCTATCCCCAACACTCTCAGCTTCCTACCAAAATCTGCTTACATAGATGAGGTTTGCAGCAAGATTGATTGGTCAACTTGGGTATCTGAATGCAGGTACTTCATAAACCATCTCCTGTTACATGCTGCATTCTAGCCTGGGCTGTACATTTTCTGTCATAAACCCTAGAAAACTGAAATATTAACATTGGGGTCATAAAAAAGCTTCACGTTGTTTCGAAACAATTACCAGTTACTAATATAATTTATACGTTCTGTGTTATGCTGGATTTATTTGTGGGGGCTTCTGTGGAAGTGTCAAGTTTGAGCTTCATTACCATTTTGGTGTGAGATTTTCACATTCAGTTAAGTGTTTTTAATATGGGAAATCAGATATGCAATTTGATTACATGCGTCTAGAAAGGCGTTTTATTAAATATTGGTAGTTGCAGCTCTTAAACCATGGTGTCTGTGCAGCACAAACTGCCTATTTCTGCTTGTTATCTTGCATTTATTAGCATGCAGTAATTAGTGCTAAGTTGCTGTTTGTGACCGTTATTTTAGCATAATGAATAAGTGATACCAGTGCTTTGATGCTAGCAGTAGCAAGATGGCCTTCTCTGTCTGCTGCTCCGATTTTGGTGGTGGTGTGTGTTTAGATTCTGATTTTCCAAGGGTTTATGAATAGCAGATAATGTTCTGGGGGGAAGGGGGAGGGGGTGGGGGGTCGGGTCTTTCTAGGTTAAATTTTCAGAGGTTGAAATCCTGTAAAACTTGAGCATGGTTTGAGTTAGGTGCAGGGATTTTCTGGAAAATTTGGGAAATGGAAAAATAACTCCTTTTTACCATCCTAATTGATGCTACTTTTCTTTTTTTTTTAAATAAGTATTAGAATTAAAATCTTATTTTCATCTATTTAATACTGATGCATTTGGCAGGTGCGTAATGAAAATGGCTAGCATTTGAAGGAAATTATACTGTACATGTTAGTCATTTTTTATCATCTTAGTGAAATGCATCAATATGATATTCAATGACACCTTGGTGATTAATAGAGAATTATATCTGAGTCAAGCCTTTTTTTTTTTTAACCTAGAAATTAAAGTGCCTATTCAAATAACACTACAAAATGATCAAATTAGCATTCTGTGAATGCATAATCAGATTGTATTAGTTATAGCAGCATTGTTAGTGCTACTTTGGGTAAGTTTGTCAGTGCTTTCCTTTCTTCCAGGCTATTTAAAAAAGCCACCTAGATCCGGGCTGAGCCATAGCACCAATATTATATAGTTCAGCAGTAAATTACTTTACCTGCTCTACATTAGGAACACCTATATTTTTTGTTGTTCTTACACCAAAGGTATCTGTTTTCAATGAAATGTTGTAGGGGTTACAAGACTTTGGTGTTTACAATAATATTTTTAGCTGATAAGAAATGAGCAGTATTTTTCCCACAAATATTCATAATTCTTTTCCTGGGAATAGCACATGCCTTATTTACATAATTAACAGAGCTACTCATGTCTCTTGGGAAAACGGTACATAATTGGGGAGAAGTGGGGGGGTGGAGGACAAGGAGGGGCTTGGGGCCTAATTAAACATGTTTAAAAAAAACCCTACTTAATTATGTATTTACTCAAGAGACTAGAATGGCTCTAAAATACTCTAAGATTATAACTAAGGCTTTGATTTTAAAAAAATTAAAAGCATCATAATGTAGATCTTCTGTTTGTTGGGAAAAGGTCTGTGGAAAATAAAAGCATATTATCCTCTGTCCACTCTCAGTGTGTATACTTGTGCTAACTCTGGAATTGCATTTCTGAATACTTTTACTACAATCATTTATTGACATTTATAATTTAATTGGACTTAAATAGCATTCATTTTATTCAGGTTTTTTTCCTGTTGGTTAATGTATTTTTTTAAGATAATCGATTAAAATAGGTAAGTGTTAAATTCTATCATTTTAAACAGGCCACTTTATTAAAATGTCTCATTTTTGCAGAGGTTTTCTTGTCAAGTTCAGTGTTTGTTTTTCCAGCCACTTCTACATGCTTATGAAATAATAACATTTTAAAGCGCTCTAATTGCTTCCTGGATTTTGATCAGTTTATTGAATTATCAAAAATAAATTAGAACATATAGCTTGTAAAATAGACCCAGACTGGCAGCGCTCTGGTCAGCCTGCTGCGGTACTAGGAGTTCTTGTCATGTAACCAAACAGAAAACGCTTGCAGTTTTGTGGGACTTAGAATCTTCCCCGTCCTTAAAAAAAGCAAACCACAAAACCCCAAATACACATGGCATTTACCATCCAGTTGGAGTTTCTGAAGTTCTGGGTTTCCTCTTAAAATAAGTATACTAAATCCTCCGCCCCAACAACTAGAAAGCATCTGCAGTGTTGGTCATGCAGGTGCAGGGCCTTAGTTTAATAAAAGCTAAACTAAGCTAAACTAATTCTCATCACATGTTCTGTGATGAGAATTTGGAACCACTAGAAGCCTTTGACTTTTGTATCCCGTTCATTTATAAGTTGTATAGAGAGCTCTATGAAGGCATCAGAAATTTGCAGCCAGGGTGTCTTTAGTTTAATTTGCACAGTAGAGGCAGATATAACTTATTCCAGAAGTGGTATTTTTTATTTGCCTGCACCAGGAGTTTTCTTTTAATCTTATTTTAAGTATTTGTTGTTCCCCTTTCCCTATCTAGCTGTTCAATGGGAGGAAGAAGTGATTAATTGTGTATGATTCCA